TATATATATACTACACTTCTAACTAAATGCTACATGTCTTCAACATTTCCTGAATGTTTTGTTCCTATGGGAACAAGTGTCAGTATGTTCAAGGACCATTCATTGTTTGTGGTTTAAATCATTTAGCCCGTCAGACTGAGTCAAGTTTGAATATCAGTCAAAATGTCCAGCTTCAGGTTGTGGGTGTTTACCTTAGCAGAACTTCTTCTCATGCAAAACTCATAGTATTTTTCTTGGGCAATTTTCTTTTTATATGCTGCCTGTTAAGAGTGTGTATCATGATGACCTTTTTAAGTTTTCTGTTGGTTTACTTTGCTCTGACCAGACCTAAACAGAGTTGAAGTCAGTCAACTGAGACAAGAAAGACGACAGGGTGTGGCCATGTTCAAAAGTTTTTTATTGGAAAATATATAAATCTATATGTATACCTTACTTTTAATATGTAGTTATGAAATCATTTCAGGTTTCTATTTCAAGCTGTGGGCTGAATTGTGTACCTCTCATTTCAATGTCTGTTGAGAAATGTGGTAATTTACATAGAAGTTTCCACACAAATCAACCTAAGAAAAACAATGACTCAACAGCATTTGTGTTCATGTCGATGATCACTAATAATGAGCAAAAAAGAGAGATGTGGAAATGCAGAAACTAGCTGCATTAAATGTTTAACAGATAATGCTGAAGCTTTGACCTCTTAGTTTTGATATACAGGAGATGAGATGCTGCAACCTTCTCTTGCAAAAAACATTTGTAGTTATTACCCCGATAAATGTAAAAAATCAACTTAAAATGCCCACACACAACTTCTTCTACTGACATTTTTAATGTCACATGAAAACTGCATTGTCTTTTTGTTGTTTTCAAGTATAAAACGAGGCAAAACTATATAATGGAAAGACCAAAGTAATGCATTTCACTTTTAAAAAGTCATACTCTCAACTCCCACGAAAGAAAGAGGAAGTTCAAGGCTGTTCAAATAGATTCATAGTACATCATCATACTGAATGAGAAGTAGAAAGAGTGTAGTTGACTGGTACAGGAATGGTAATACCGCCCTTTACTGGTAAAACTATGCAAGTGCAGCATGGATCCAGCGTGCATCTGATGAGGGCTTCATGCAGGATGTATTAGAGGTGTCGTTTTAAAGGTTTTCTGATCAAAATCGAACAGAGAAGTACCAAAATACAATCTTTTGAAATCAGTCCCCTGTGTATCTTTTGTTTTTGTTAGGGATATTTTCACTAAATTCGTTTTGCTCTTTCCCTTTGCATATGGGACCTGAGGTTCAAGTATTTTTTAAAAAGCTTTGCGCAGGGAGTAGAAAATACATATTGTACTTTTGTCCTGAAAATGCAAGACTTTCCCTCTAACTGTGACTTTTTTTTCATTTCATTTTGGTACTCAGACATGACATTTAAATCAGTGTGGTGTTGCTCTGTGTGTTGTCGCCTGGCAGGTCCAACTGTTTTTTGGATAGATTGCTATACCGTCATAAAATGTCTGCTTATCATGGTCCAAAATGCCATGTATAGCATTTTATTACATTTTATTACTGGAAATGATCACACGTAATCATAATCGTAATCATAATCATACGTAACATCGGGAAACTGTGTTTAATTTTGATTTCCACATTACAACTATTAAAGCTTAGACCATGTCAAAGCTACAAGTCACTGTACAAGGTTTTACAACAGTGGGATTCAGTATGGTTGGTGGTTTAGAATGACTTAGAAAGCTGAAACGAAAGAAAAAAAATCTGATAAGGAGCAAACTTTGGAAGCACCTTGTGTCTGAGTGCTGCCTCTGCCTTATCCAGTTTTCTTTTTGCCCTGTCTTTGGCGGTCGTTATCACCCGGTCAGAGAGTTCTTACTGATAGCCATAGTTCCGCCTCTCACCTGATCTTTAAACCTGCCCTGTCATTATGTATAGGGGGGGGGGGTATATTAGAAAGTTCCTGGGCCCTGGTCGGAGGTGTGTGTACCTTTTACCTGGCCTCAGCCTCTGTCTCAGCCCCCTGTGGTCCAGCCTTCCCGTGCTGCTGCTGCTGGGACACAAACAGACGAGCTGCACACACTAGCACACACCACAAACACACAGAGACAGAAGGAGAACAGGCAGCCAGGAAGCCAGGGAGACAGACAGACGTACGCTTGGAAGGAGAGAGAAACGCACAGAACCATGAGCTGTTGTAACAGAAGGTGCGGGCTGATAGCCGGAGCTGTGCTCGGGGCTTTGGTGGCCGTCCTGGGAGGTATCCTCATTCCGCTGGGGAACAGCATCATTCAGGGAACAGTGGAGAAGGTAGGGTTTTTGGTTTCACCCCGGCTGAAAGGGGTTGGGAGTGACTGAGCGCATGGACGTGTGAGTGTGTGCATATGCAGAGATCAAGGTGAATGTGGAGAAATGAGAAAAGGAAGAGGCGTGCATTTGGAAAGCTGCTTCAAATGGTAAACAGGAGGCTGTGCAGAAAGCCAACTGTGCCTTTATTTCCTCCATCAAAAGATCAGGATACAAGATTTTTTTCAGACACTGTCGAGGAAAATTTAGCCATCGCACAGGATATGTTTTTTTTCTTTTTTTCTTGTGTGTGTGTGTCAGAGCATCCACCTTTTTCATATGTCAGGAGAGTTGCTGGCCTGCTGGCAGTCCTGAGGCGTGTTAAAAATAGCTTGTCTGTGTGTCTGCGGGGTTTAGGAAGCTGTCATTGAGCCCGGAACGACAGCTTATGAAACCTGGTCCGCAGCGGGGACAAAGGTGTACAGGCAGTTCTGGTTCTTTGACGTGAAAAATCCACTGGAGGTTTTGCAGCATGGCGCAAGACCAGTGGTAAAGGAGAAAGGACCTTACACATACATGTGAGTTGGATTCTGTAACCTCCTTTCTTCACCCGTGTCCTGATTAAACACTCACTTGGAAAGTCATGTAAGAGAATCAATGTCAGACTTTCCTAATTAGCTCAGAATCTCTATACTCTTTTTTTTTGGGGTTCGTTTTTGTCAGTGTCACGTACAACAATCTACTTTCATCTCATCTTTTATGTTTCTTCTCTCCTGTTTCAGAACAAGATATCTTGCCAAAGACAACGTCACGTTCAATCCCAATGAAACGGTCTCCTTTGTGCTGCCTCAAGGAGCTATCTTTGAGCCATCCATGTCGGTTGGACCAGAGGAAGACAATATCACTTCACTCAACCTTGGAGTGGCTGTAAGTGTCTTTTTTCCCTACTTGAATCAATTGCTAACGGTTACTGTATCCTTGATTACAAGGCTATTCTGAGCAATACCAGAGCAAACAGCAGGCATACCGTGGGAGCGTATTCTGTATGCAATCATACATTTGAATGGTAATTTGCTAGATTTGTGGTTGTAACTTCCAGGAGTTGATCTTTTCAGTGGTTTTAGAGGGTTGTAACAACTAAGGAAGCAAGGTTTAGATAAAAGAAGTCGTGCAATGTTTATTTATACGTGAGTTCAAATGACTTGTTTGACATCTCTAAATCTGAAGGTTGCTCTGTCAAGAAGGTGCCCTACATTCAGTTGGTATATTCGCGGGTGCTGCAGATGATTAATAACAGGGTTCTTGGAAGACCTCTCACGCGGCAAATTCCCCTGCTTCACTTTTACCTTTTTTGCTCTTAACAAGTAATTGGAAATAATGTTTCTGTGTTTACTCTAATTTAATAAAAATAATGTGTTTATGTTTTGTGGTTACTCAACATTTTTAGTTTTCCATGCATCCAGGAATTGTATCATGTTAGCAAAACTCATGAAAGTAAAGTGACAAGACATTTGTTTGTAAAGGTGATGTGAATCTCATATAAATCCTTATTGCTGACTGAGATGGGAATGCCACTATATTGTGTATATTGTGTTAGTTTAAAAATGATCCAATCTGATAAAGAAGTAAAGTGGTTGGGTAGGAAAAGAAATAAACAGGATGCACTTTACCAGGAGAAAATTGTGTTTTTGAATGCCAGATTTGCTCATTACTAAGACAGTTTCGTTCCAAATCTGATCCCCCACAAAATTCAGCCCCGGTGTTTGGCCAATTTATGAAAGTAAACTAATACTTCCAAACATGCCCATCAGTCTGTTTATTTTCTGAGTGCAGAGGGTTCTATGAAATGTTTAGAATATTAATGTGCATTTTAAAACTATAATCTCAAGTGTTTCCTGTCTATTTTTTGCTTGCTAAATCTTAAGAGGTCAAAATGGGTTTACATAGGTCCTTACAAGCTAATCCTACAGATTGACACACAGAAATACATTTTTTTCTCTTCTAGCTAAAATGCAGGGTCTCAGAGCAAGTCTGATGGGAGTGCATTGCATCTATGAAACAGCCGGATTCACTGTTTGCTCATAACTTAAGATTTCAATAGATAATGTGGCTTCAAGGCTTTGGTGAGACTGCAGACAGATCTATGACATCACATTAAATATGTCCATCTGTTATTGGCTCTCAAAAGCAAGCAGTTTTACTCAACTGAAAACTACAAATGTCTGAAGACACAAATTTGATCATCCATCTATGAATTAAATGGTTTCAGTATTTAGGGTTTTCCAGACAGTAACTGATCTATTTATCAGTTGCTATCTATCCACTTGCTTTGTGGACAATGTCCTTATTCCTACTTATTTGACATGATCCAGCTGCCTTTTTTGGCAAGATGCCATTTGCTGTTCTAGAACACGACTTACTGACAGAAGGAAGCAAATGTTTCTCAAAAGCCCTCTGAGTTTTTATAAATCCTTCAACCTTTTAAATTATGAGTGTAAAGCCAGTATTGATTGGATGACATTTACTAAATGAACTCAGGCAAGAACCTAAAAAAAAAAGTGCTTAATTTAACACCAACCGATCAAAAACGGAAAGAGTTAATCTTATTTATGGCTGCATCATGTAAGCTTTCACATCCGTGCTTCTGTCATGCTGTGGGCTGTGGAAATTAGAAATGACTCAGATAATAATCCATGAGTGCCGGCTCCTTTGTTTTATGGACAAACATTTATGCGCCATGTCTTCAAACATTCATCAGCTTCAAGCGATGCTTGTAAGCAAAGTAAGGGAGTGGATCTGCCTGTTAATGTGGAGTATTGCAGCCAATAAATTATTCTTATCTGTATTATCTCCTTTGTCTTATCTCCTAAGACAACAGCTACATTTGTCTGCGCAACAATTTTATGGATTGTTATTGGACCATACTGATGCCTGGAATAACAAAGATTTTCCATCGATAATCGAGATTTTTTTTTCTTTTTCAGGGAGCTTATTCTATTGTTCCAGTTGAGCTTCATTCAGCTCTAGAGATGCTCATGAAATTGAGCAAATCCTCCCTGTTCCAGTACCGCACCGTGAAGGAACTGCTGTGGGGCTACCCAGATCCTCTTTTAAAAGATACCATTGGTCTGTTTGCACCTGTAAGTAAGAACTTCACACATCACACAAATATCAGAGAAGGAGCTAACCAGCGACCTCTTTGAAATGCAGTTAATTGATCAACATAAAGTTCCTAATACATGGATTTGATCTAGTACAATGATACCTATGATGGCACCTACAATGTCTTCACCGGGAAGGATGACATCTCAAAAGTGGGAACAATTGACAACTGGAGGGGACTCAGGTGAGTTCATTGGGGAACGCAGATTCTTTGATGTTGACAGCGATGGAGATCTTGACACGGGCCCATTGTTAAGAGGGAATCAGTTTTGGAACAGAATTGACAATTGACAATATAATTAGTTAAAAATTAGATGAAGGTGAAAGTTCAAAATATTTTGTTTTCTGACACAGGAACTTGCAGTTTTGGAATGACTCGTATTGTGACATGATCAACGGAACAGGTGAGGTTCAAACCCACAAGTGTTATCGCAGTCCCAATGTGGACGAGTCATTTATATGACACAGACTTTCTCTCCTCATTCTCTTAGACGCTTCATCCTTCCCCCCATTTGTGGACAAGAAAAAACCTCTATATTTCTTCTCATCTGACATCTGCAGGTGATGGAGGGTTTCATTTAACGGGAGCAGTTTGTCAAGTGAGACAAGTGTAACTTTAAAAAAAAAGCAGCAACTTTTAGGCTATTTTTTCCCTTCCCCTGCTCTCTGTGCCCACTAGAGGTCAGAGCCATCCATGAAAGTCTTACCTGAGTAAAGCTGCTCTTTAGTGCTGAGGAAAAAGAGCATACGTGAACATCTGATCTGATGTTTTGTCTTCAGGTCTGTGTCAGCAAGCTATGAGAAGACAGTAAATCTGAAGGGGATTGAAGTGTATCGTTACTCCCTCCTCGAGTCCACCCTTGCCTCCCCAATAGATAATCCAGACAACAGGTGTTTCTGCAAAAACATGAAGACCACTAAGAATTGCACATTAGCCGGAGTACTGGACCTCAGT